CTGTCACATAACTTCTGGGCTGCTGCTTCTGTTCGGAGATCACCTCCGCGAGTCTGGCGTAGAAACATCTTGCACTTGGGCCCATCCCACCAGAGGTTGTGAACACTAGAGGAGTGAAGCTGCCTTGATCCACATTTTGAATTCTCTACCCATATGCCCTTCTCTTGTCGTTCTCGTTCCTCCTATGTGCAGCATCGAGAGCTAGGTTACGGTGACAAGCGGCCATGGGATCATGGCCTACTACTACTACTACTACTACTACTACTACTACTACTACTTTGCTGTCACTCAGAATCGAGTATGACGATCATCCAGTTATGATACAATGATATGAGTTATTAAGGATGTCACTTTCGTTGGTGAGTTTTGAGGTGACTAAAGCGGCCGATACGGGACCGGCAGGGTTGTTCACAGATGTTGCACACGTGGAGGGCTACATCTAGTGCAGGAGGGGCTGGGTGGCAGCCTCTTTCCGGCGCTGGCGCTTGTCTGCCACGATTTGCAGTCGGTTTAACTCGAAAGTATTGACACCTTCTCGTGTGGTGCTCCTCCAAGCGTTACGGTGTGGAGTAATCGTCTCCCAGGTGAGGGGGTCGATTTGGCACTTTTTCAGGTTTGTATTATGACTATCCTTATACATTTTCAGTTGCCCGCCAGCGTTACGTTTACTTTTCGTTAGGTGACTGTAAAGTAGCTGCTTTGGCAGTCTACTGTCGTCCATGGGGGTAACACACACACACACACACACACGCGCATACACACACACACACACACACACACACACCACAGTCACTGAAAAAATTATCTGTACTTGGGGTGATCAATGAATTTCACAATGAACACTACGACTCCTGTTGTCTCGGAAGGGTTGTCAAAATCATTCATCCGTTGTGTCATATAGTTTCAACACAATTTTGAATAGATATTTTTTTATGAGTGTACACCTGTGGCCTTTTGGGGAAAGGGGGGGGCAGGGGGCTTATAATCTGAATACTTTAATTAATTTACCTGTTGATTTACCTGTCTCTATAAAATTACCTTGGTAGTGACCCCAAACATCAAAAAAGATAATTAATTTTTTTGGGGGGTGAGGGGAGGGGGGGAGGGGGAGGCTAAACTCATTACTGAGGTTAAATAAAGTTTATAGTCAGTCTTGAGGAATAAAGTGACAGATATGTTGGGTTTATTTGATTAAACTTTGGCATTGAAATCCCCAGATCAGATTTGAGTGTAAAGTCCATTATACACCAGTCTGGCCAACTCCAACCTAACCTAACCTAACCTAACCTAACCCCAAACACAATCTATTATTTTTGTCATAATTCATTTCAGCCTCTCTCTCTCACACGCTATTATATTTCGAGATTAAAAAAATACCATTTCATCTTTTTTTTTTTTGCCAGACTCATCTTGTATGGCCGTCATGTCACCCTTCATACCACTCACCTTCTGCCTAAACTGACTTTCTGATGTACGTGTTTTCCTATTAGTTTAAAATGTTTCCCCTTCTGGCCCTGACATTTAGTTACATCCTGTGTTCCTTTTATTGAATGGAATGTTTTTTTTTTTCTCTTATTCTTTCATCTCTTCTTTTTCTATTTCTTCTTTTTCTTTTCTCTTTCTATCTGTCTCTGTCTGTCTGTCTGTCTCTGTCTCTGTCTGTCTGTCTGTCTCTCTGTCTGTGTGTCTGTCTCTCTGTCTGTCTGTTTCAGTGTGACATAAATAATATTAGACTCCGCTCTTACACCTCTCATTAACTCACTTCCCACGGTTACCTGCCCACCCATCCCACCCATCCCACCCATCCCACCCATCCTTCCACTCACCCATCCCACCCACTCACCCATGACTGGTGTGTGTGTGTGGAGGATGACTGAGGTGTGGAGGATGACTGAGGTGTGGAGGATGACTGAGTTGTGGAGGATGACTGAGGTGTGGAGGATGACTGAGGTGTGAAGGATGACTGAGGTGTGGAGGATGACTGAGGTGTGGAGGATGACCGAGATGTGAAGGATGACTGAGGTGTGAAGGATGACTAAGGTGGAGGATGACTGAGGTGTGGAAGATGACTGGAGGTGGAGGATGACTGAGGTGAAGGATGACTGAGGTGGAGGATGACTGAGGTGTGGAGGATGACTGAGGTGTGGAGGATGACTGAGTTGTGGAGGATGACTGAGGTGTGGAGGATGACTGAGGTGTGAAGGATGACTGAGGTGTGGAGGATGACTGAGGTGTGGAGGATGACCGAGATGTGAAGGATGACTGAGGTGTGAAGGATGACTAAGGTGTGAAAGCTGTGATACCTGTGTTCACTATAGAGAGGTTCCCACAGGCTGACCTAACCTAACCTAACCAAAAAAATTTCAATAACTCAATACGACATAACTCTCTCCCACTCCTGCATTGCCTGACGCGGGTGTCGAAAAAAAAGAAGAATTAAATTGGGTGTTCCAGATGGCAGTCACGTAGCATATAAAAAAAAACTATTGTCAGGGGAAAAAATGGAAAAATTTCTATTGGGGAAGGGAAAAAAGTGTGAGAAAACTTTTGTCAGGGGAAAAAATGGAAAAATTTCTATTGGGGAAGGGAAAAAAGTGTGAGAAAACTTTTGTCAGGGGAAAAAATGGAAAAAATTCTATTGGGGAAGGGAAAAAAGTGTGAGAAAACTTTTGTCAGGGGAAAAAATGGAAAAATTTCTATTGGGGAAGGGAAAAAAGTGTGAGAAAACTTTTGTCAGGGTAAAATGGAACAAAATTCTATAGGGGAAGGGAAAAAAGTGTGAGAAAACTTTTGTCAGGGGAAAAAATGGAAAAACTTCTATTGGGGAAGGGAAAAAAGTGCGAGAAGCCTTTATCAACAAGATAAACGGGAAATAGTGTTCGGAGTATCACATATATATGAACCTCGACCCTGAATAATACTTTTGACATCTCTAAATTGGTGTGTGTGTGTGTGTGTGTGTGTGTGTGTGTGTGTGTGTGTCTACGTGTCTGTCTGTGTGTCTATCATGAGAAAATGAAATAAAGTACTACAAAAGAGCCCCGATAAATGATAACCTAATCCAACGTAGCCTAACCTAACCTAACCTAACCTAACCTAACCTAACCTAACCTAACCAAACCTAACCTAACCTAAGAATAACCTAACCTAACCATATGTAAGGAGGGAGGAAACTAACTACTATCACCTGAAAACAAAAGACAAACTATAACCACGCCATTTGAGAACCGATAAATAGAGCAATATTCCTTCATTAAACACTAACTTATTTTAATCACTTAATATAGCTAATGTGTTGTTCCTGTCACGTGGTGTTAAGTGTGGATGATGTCACCTACACTGTGTGGATGATGTCACCTACACTGTGTGGATGATGTCACCTACACTGTGTGGATGATGACGCCTACACTGTGTGGATGATGTCACCTACACTGTGTGGATGATGACGCCTACACTGTGTGGATGATGACGCCTACACTGTGTGGATGATGACACCTACACTGTGTGGATGACACTGTGTGGATGATGACGCCTACACTGTGTGGATGATGTCACCTACACTGTGTGGATGATGTCTCCTACACTGTGTGGATGATGACGCCTACACTGTGTGGATGATGTCTCCTACACTGTGTGGATGATGACGCCTACACTGTGTGGATGATGTCACCTACACTGTGTGGATGATGTCTCCTACACTGTGTGGATGATGACGCCTACACTGTGTGGATGATGTCACCTACACTGTGTGGATGATGTCTCCTACACTGTGTGGTGATGGATGATGACGCCTACACTGTGTGGATGATGTCCTACACTGTGTGGATATGACCTTACACTGTGTGGTGACGCCTACACTGTGTGGATGATGTCACCTACACTGTGTGGATGATGTCACCTACACTGTGTGGATGATGTCACCTACACTGTGTGGATGATGTCACCTACACTGTGTGGATGATGTACCTACACTGTGTGGATGATGACGCCTACACTGTGTGGATGATGACGCCTACACTGTGTGGATGATGACGCCTACACTGTGTGGATGATGACGCCTACACTGTGTGGATGATGTCACTCACTGTAATGTATTTAACAAGGCAAACTACACAACCCTGTATTATGATGTATTAAGTCAAGGTTACGTACAGGTGATGTTTGACGTATACGTATTGGATGTTCGTTGATAGAGGTTAATGTCTTATAACTGAGATGTTTTCGTTAATTATTCACTAAGATGACCCATGTAATGACCTGTGATTAGAGGTCAAGTAAATGTGTAGTAGTTTAAATGGTAAGGTCATATTTGGGTTAGTATTTTGTTTTGCTTACATGCACGTTTCATCATGCATTCCAAGGGTGTGTGTGTGTGTGTGTGTGTGTGTGTGTGTGTGTGTGTGTGAGGTATACATACACTCAGGGGTACTCACCGATACAGGTTGTGAGGAGAGTTGTGTTGGACGGTATATAGGCGTTGGAGCACCACACTGTTCCCTTAGTGCGGGACTGTCTGGGGTCCATGATGGGTGTGTGTCGACACCCAGCACCTGTTGTGGCCGGTGTCTGAGGCCCTGGAGACGCAGCTGGTGTACAAGACACCTTCTGGCCTCCCATGGCCGAGTATCAACCTTTATCTTCAAATAATACTCGAATTTGTATAATTATGTAGAGGTTATCAACCAGCTGTGGTGGTATACGTTTGACAGCTGGGTGTGGAGAGGCTGAGATAGACAGCTTTGCTAGACAAGTGAAGACGAGGCAGCTTGGGTAAAGGACAGCGCTTCGACAGCCTGGGGCAGATAGGGACTTAGGCAACACTGGGACAACTCCGTGACACACTTAAGAACAGCTTGTAAGGGTAACACTTGACTCACGTGGGACCTGCCACGCTACATGACCTGTGACCTGAATGGCTAAACAAAGATCTGTCCTAAAAGTTGTTAAGAGAGGACATGAAGGGGGAGAGAGAGAGGTCGGTGTAGAGTGGCCGGCCGCACATGGTGCCCACGGTGGGGAGACACACAGGTCCACGAGGCAAACTTCAACAAGTTGTTTCTCCTGAGGGCGTCGACACGTGCAGGCGCTGCTGGAGGGCTAGGAACGCCCACACGTCCTGTGTCACAAACAGGGGGACATGGGCGCCAGTCGCCACTGTAGGCGTGGGCGTACTGTTGGGGCGTAATGTAGAGGCGAGGATCGCGGAGACAGCGGCAAATAGTCCACACTGAGGGAAGGCGCGCCGCTCACTGACCCACCTCCCAGCAACACACTGACAGCACGCGCACCTCACCACCTCCACCACGCCTACCACAAACTTACCCATGACTCTACCACTTATGTCACGTGTCTACCACACCTCCACCACAACCACCACTCCTCCACCCCATGACTCTAACACTTATGTCACGTGTCTACCATACCTCCACCACAACCACCACACCTCCACCACAACCACCATACCTCCAACACATCCATCATACCTCCACCACAACCACCACACCTCCACCACAGCTGGCATTTATGATGCTCTTCCTTATAGTTCTGGCATCTATAATTCTTCTGTTTATAGTTCTGGCATCTATAATTCTTCTGTTTATAGTTCTGGCATCTATAATTCTTCTGTTTATAGTTCTGGCATCTATAATTCTTCTGTTTATGGTTCTGGCATCTATAATTCTCCTGTTTATAGTTTTGGCATCTATAATTCTCCTGTTTATAGTTCTGGCATCTATAATTCTTCTGTTTATGGTTCTGGCATCTATAATTCTCCTGTTTATTGTTCTGGCATCTATAATTCTCCTGTTTATAGTTCTGGCATCTATAATTCTCCTGTTTATAGTTCTGGCATCTATAATTCTCCTGTTTATAGTTCTGGCGTCTATAATTCTTCTGTTTATAGTTCTGACATCTATAATTCTCTAGTTTATAGTTCTGGCATCTATAAATCTCCTGTTTATAATTATGGCATCTATAATTCTCCTGTTTATAGTTCTGGCATTTATAAATCTGTTTATAATTATGGCATCTATAATTCTGTAGTTTATAGTTCTGGCATCTATATAAAACCTGTTCACATGGTAATACTTCACAAACCTCCTCTTAAAACTCAAATAAACCTTTAAAGATGGTCCCTGTTCACTAAATAGACGGGATTTAATGAGTTTATGATATGCAAATTAGGTCTATTAAGCCAGGTGGTCAGTCAGCTGATTGTGGGGTACAGATGGTTACCTGTTCTGGTCATTCAGATGGTTGAGATTTATCCCCAGATGGTGTACTGACCAGGTGGGACACAGGTATGTTGAGTGTTAATTAAGGGCAGGTTAAAGGGTATATAACTGGTTAAGGGCTTTCGAATAAAACGTAGATTTTGTTCTCAATTATCACCACTACCACCACTACCACTACTACTACACTATCACCACCACAATCACCACCATTACTACCACCACTACTACTACCACTACAACAACCACCACCACCACCACCACCACCTCCTGCAATATGCCAAAACACGTCCAGCAGAAAATGGCATATTTACCTAACCACCATAGCTGTTCATAAGACCCTGTCACCCATAACATGATAATGGAATGTCAACTCTAAGGTGGCTGGGAGATATAGCACTTTCTTGGCCCTACCAGCTGATGAGATTAGGAAAAGAAGGGGGGGGGGAGTCTTTTGTTTTTGTTTGGTTTTCTTGTTTGGTTTGGTTAGGTTAGGTTAGGTTAGGTTAGGTTAGGTTAGGTAAACAAAAGCTCTCATGCACACGTAGATATTTTCATTAGACAAACAGCATATTTCATGTACACTATGTCACGCTCCCTACCTCCTAACTACACAGCCACACCCATAACCACGCCCATTATCTCCCACTTACACAACCACGCCCACAACCACGCCCACAATCACTCCCACAACCACGCCCCTTAGCACTTTCCCTACCTCCTACCTACACAACCACGCCCACAACTACACCCCTATCACGCTCCCTACCTCCCACGTACACAACCACGCCCACAACCACGCCTACGCCCACCCTGACTACCAGTACCCTTGAGTAACGTTAGATAAATAAAATTCAACCTTGAGTTTATCGGAGCTACTGAGGCTTACGGTAATTTTGTCAACAGGATGTTCCACGAGATAACGCGTGTGTGTGTGTGTGTGTGTGTGTGTGTGTGTGTGTGTGTGTGTGTGTGTGTGTGTGTGTGTGTGTGTGTGTGTGTGTGTGTGTGTGTGTGTGTGTGTGTGTGTGTATGCTTTTATACTTCCCCAATCTTTATACATTGAACGTACTACAACAAAAAATCTTCGAGAAACGACTTGGATACTTGATAGACATTGGGCAGATCAAGATGGCTTTTAGACGCAGAAGAGAGTTGGGGTGGGGGAGCCTATGGTGGGCGTGATACAGGCAATTTTCTACAAGGTGATATGATGAAGAGAGAATTGATTAAGCTAAGTTTTTGACCTTTACAGACATTTCTCTCTCTCTCTCTCTCTCTCTCTCTCTCTCTCTCTCTCTCTCTCTCTCTCTCTCTCTCAGACTAGACACTTATTTGTTCATTTAAAAACATTCACACACACACACACACACACAGACACACACACACACAGACACACACACACACACACACACACACACACACACACACACACACACACACACACACACACACAATATAAGCTTATAATATCTCACTAAATTCATTACTTCGAAAATTTCACTCTCTACAAACTTTCCCTCGAGTGAAAGTAGGAGCCTCAAACAGGAGTTATATGTGAGTCTTACACGAGTCTCACCCATTACTGTAATATATGTACCTGTAATATGTACCGTAAGAGCCTCAGAGTCTGTAAGCGTCTGTAAGAGTCATGATTTTTTGCCTAATTAAAACTACATTATTTCCAGCCCTAGGAAGACGACCCACTGAGTCAAACTGGGTGAGGTAATTATATAAGTGAGGGAGGGAGTGAGGGAGGGAGTGAGGGAGGGAGTGAGGGAGGGAGTGAGGGAGGGGAGAGGAGGGAGGGAGGGAGGGAGGAGGGAGGAGGAGGGAGGGGGTGGGAGGAGGAGGAGGGAGGAGTGAGGGAGGGGTGAGGGGGAGGGTGAGTGGGGAGGGGAGGGGGTGAGGGAGGAGTGAGGGAGGAGGGGGTGAGGAGGGGGGAGGGGTGGGGGGTAGGTGAGGTGAGGTGGTGAGGGAGGGGGAGGGTGGGGAGGGGTGAGGGAGGGGTGAGGGAGGGGGTGGGGAGGGGGGGAGGGGGTGAGGGTGAGGGAGGGGGGGAGGGAGGGAGGGGGTGTGAGGGAGGGGGTGAGGAGGGTGGGGGGTGGGGAGGGGGGAGGGGTGGGGAGGGGGAGGAGTGAGGGAGGGTGAGGGGAGGGGGAGGGAGGGAGGAGGGAGGGAGGAGGGAGGGGGGTGAGGGGAGGGAGGGAGGGGAGGGGAGAGGGAGTGGGGAGGGTGGAGGAGTGAGGGAGGTGAGGGTGAGGGGGTGGTGGCAGGGAGGTGAGGAGTGTGAGGGAGGGGTGAGGGTGAGGGGAGGCCAGGGAGGGGTGAGGGAGGGGTGAGGGAGGGGTGAGGGGGGGGGTGAGGGTGAGGGGTAGTGAGGGAGGGGTGAGGGAGGGGTGAGGAGTGGGGGGAGGGTGAGGGGAGGGAGGGAGGGAGTGAGGGAGGGTGGCGTGAGGGAGGCAAGGCGACGGTATACCCACAGAAAGAATTTTATATATTTTGTTCGAGCGAAATGATTTACCGTCTCTCTCACTCTCCATTTCCATGAATAACTCCCCATCCGACTCTCAGTCCAGGGGAGACAGGCAATCGTGTCTCTTCCTTCTCCCCCTCTTCCTCCTCCCTCTCTTCCCACCCCCCCCTCCTCCCTCTTCCTTCTCCCTCTTCCTACCCCCCTCGTCCTACTCCCCTAATCCTACTCCCCTTCTTCCTCCCCCTCTTCCTGTTCCCCTCTTCCTTCTCCCCCCTCCTCCTCCCCTCCTCCTCCCTTTCCCCTCCTTCCTCTCCCCCATATTAAACAAGCAGGAAGACACGAAGGACACATTCCTCATCTCCTGCTGCCCTCCCTCTCTCTCCCCTCACCTCCCCTCCCTCTCTCCCCTCACCCCTCACCCCTCTCTCCCTCACCCCTCACCCTCCCTCTCTCCTTCACCCCCTCACCCTCCCTCCCTCACCCCTCACCCTCCCTCTCCCTCCCCCTTACCTCCCTCTCCCCCTCACCCTTTCCCTCACCATCACCCTCTCCCCTCCCCCCCCCACAATGGCCCCTAATAGGTAAGGACTCAGTTAGGTCTTCCAGGAATCCCTTCGTCCACCCCAACAGGATAAAGCTACCGCCCTTGTAGGAGTCCTTCGGCAGTAGTAGGATATCCTCTTGTCCCCAGGAACACGCGTAGGACTCTAGGAACCTTATGTGTAGCCACCGACACGTGTAGGACTGTTTGAAGGAGTTTTGGTTTGGTTGATGCTACAGACAGACAGACAGACAGACAGACAGACAGACAGACCTGATAAAACAAGTGTAATAAAACAAAGTCAAAGAATTCATTATCCTCGTTTTACTGGAGCACAAAATTGAAGCGTCAAATTTATACGTCTATTTTTGTATTGAATTTTATTTCCATCATCTAGACAGGTCGACCATACGTTGCTCTCGCTGTCTGTCTGTTTGTTTGTTTCTTTCCTTCTTTCTCTCTATCACTTCACCCTCACCTCACCCGCACCTCACCCGCACCTCACCCACGTCCCAACTGGTCATCCATCATCCTCCATCGAACGACTGAACGATAAAATTTATCCTCACTGTATTTTAAAAGTCTTGCCAAGATTTTTTCTCGATATGATTTTTAGTTCAAGCTGATGATTAGGACCTACACCCAAGTACTACACAGAGGATTTGGTTAGGTTAGGTTAGGTTAGGTTAGGTTAGGTTAGGTTAGGTTAGATTTGGGTTGGGTTAGATTTGGGTTGGGTTGGGTTGGGTTGGGCTGGGTCGGGCTTAGATTTGGGTTGGGTTGGGTTAGATTTGGGCTGGGCTGGGCTGGGCTGGGTTGGGCTAAGAGTTGGGTTAGATTTGGGTTGCTGGGCTGGGGTTGGGGTTGGGTTAGATTTGTTGGGTTGGGCCGCACCAAGTCATTCATTTCCTTGAGGTCACACAAAAATAGCACAACCTCCCCTCCTTCTCTCCTCCCCTTTCTCTTCCTCTTCATCCTCTTCCTCATGCCTCTCATCCCAGAAAGAGTGGGAGGAGAGAGTGGGAGGAGAGAGAGGAGAGGAGAGGGACTGGCGGGAAAAACCCTTACATCACCAGTCATTAAACTCATAAAAATAATATATTTTTAGAGAGGTTAATTTTGTCTTGTTTCTCTCCCTCAATTGAAGATGAAACGTCAGTGAGGAGTCGACATTAATGGCGTATTTTAGTCTTCTTAATAATTTAATAATTAAAAAAATGAATTATTTAGCTAAAAATATTCCTCTTGGGTTCTGGAGATGATTCCTATAAGCGTAAGTATGAATTTGAACTTATTAAACTTAAAATTTCGTCAGTTATGAACGCCCTTTGTTGACATGTGATGTGAGCGACTACGACACTAAATTGTTTTTGAACGATAAACTGAAGTAAAACGAACCTAACTTAACATAATCATTCTAATTTAACTTGATCTTATGTAATTTTTTTTTAAAGTTTGGTTACATTAGTTCGGCTATTATTATTATTATTATTATTATTATTATTATTATTATTATTATTATTATTATTATTATTATTATTATTATGTTACGACAGCATCAGGGTGTCTAATCTTCACGTCAACTAAACCCCTGTCTCCACAAACCTCTATAAAATATGTATCCTATGTATTATGTATTATTACACGGAGATAAAACATTAATTTAGGTTAAGCAAGAGTTTTTTTCCCATGTTAGATAAAACTTGATTAAATTAGACGTGACCAAATTAAATGTAGCAGGTGTTTTTTCCCTCACTCACCTGATTTGCATAATTAATGGCTGTGATGGTAAGGTTTCTTGAGGATTTTGTTTATATAGCAGGTGTAGTGATAGGTCTTTTGTTTACATAGCAGGTGTAGTGATAGGTCTTTTGTTTA